GGGGGACAAGGGGAAGTAGAGAAATTCTGTGGTAGTCTGTCTGCCAGCTGTTACAAGATTAAAGTTTTTTTCGTTTTTCTTTCTTTTTTCTTTTAATATTTTTGTGTATATACGTCTTTCTCTTCTTTTTTTCCATCGGATCTGCTAATTTTTTATGGACCTTTAGCCCTGGTCAAGCAGGAGTTCAAGGCAATGAACGTGCTGTTAGTGCTGGGCGAAGAATCGTTTCCGGAACCGATTCCCACGAATAATGCTGCTGAAGAAAAGTTCCGACTCCTCTTTACGTAAACCAACAGTTATCAGCTACTTTAATCAGTGTAACATCTTTTCTTTAAAAAAAATAATAATTTTAAAAAATAAATAAAAGTTGCTGCTTTGTAGTGTTCCGAAATCAAGGTCATCCTAAATCTTGAAGATGTTTCGAGCCAACCAGGTTGCCACCGGAAAAAAATATTATATCATCATTAGAAAGTAAGTATTTGGGTTCGGAGTCGATTCCTACGATTCCTAGCTTTCAATAATCGCGAACCAAGCCGCCCAGCACTTAGCCGGCCAGGCGAGATTGGCGGCACCATGCAATTAGATCCACCAACAGTCGTGGCAGCATTGACAGCATGCTTCAACGACCACAGCGAGGATGAGGGCACCACATCACACACAATGGAAATATTGAGGGAAGCTGGTGTCTCGAAAGGGTCGGGGAGAGACAGCAACCTGCGTGGAAAAGCCAGTCTAAAAAAGAATAACCAACCAGCTGATAATAATATAACTGGCACGGTCAGCAAGCAGACCTTTTCATGGAGAATGGATCCTGGAGAGGAGGGAGGAGCAGCTATGGCATTGTGCCGCCTGCAATGACGCCTGCAATGACGCCTGCAATGACGCCTATTCTTCAACCAAGTAAGCAAGTTAGCTACTTTTTTTTTCTTGAGACCAATCTTTTTACCAAATACACGGTCGAAGTTTGTTTGCTTTTTGTTTTGTTTTGTTTGTTTGTTGGTTTGTTTTGGGTTGTTTTTTAGGGGAGGGGGGGAGGGTGTTGTTTGTTTGTATTTTTTAAATCCTTACGCACTCGTGTTACAGATATATATCCAAACTGTTATCATGGACGATAATAATAGACCTCTTTTTTACAGCGCAAATTCCCGCTCATCAGCAAGCTCTACTTGTGTTATAATGCGCTTTGCAATCTTCATATTACTACCCCAGCAGGCCTGATAGCATTCTAAAGCAATTTCAACTTCCTGGGAAGCATACACGGCGCAAACTGCAATCATGTACACACACGTTATATAAACGTGCACGCTAGCAGCCCACCCCCTCCATCCACCCACCCTAACAATCTGAGAAAATGTGTAAGGGGAAGACGGGGGTCGGAGAGGGGGGATGGGAGTGAGAGAGGGGGGAGAAGGGGGGTCGGAGAGGGG